CTGCACCTGGCTGTTTTCCTGCAGACATTTCATTAGCCAGCTAGGCAGCCTCATCAGTGTTAGTGAGGAATGGGCTGAGCTACAGATACTCTGATTCCTTCCCAAGGGCGGAAGTGACCCCCCACTCCCCCCCCTCCTCTTTCAGGGCTGGAAAAGAAAACGGCCCCGCCCTAACCATGTTTCCTCTCCCTTCCTCTCGCCCAGGAAAAGCCGTGCACTCTATGGTGGCTCACCTGGATGCGGTTACCTGCCTAGCCGTGGACCCCAAAGGAGTCTTCCTTATGTCGGGAAGTAGGTACCTTTCCTCTCCCTTCGTCTCCTGGGCAGAGAAGCGACCCTGGAGCGAATGTCACCCGGCTCAGCACCACAGAGTGGAACAGGGGTGGCGTGTGGGCGGGGCCAGGTGGGCGGGGCCATGTGACTGGGTGGGTGTGGCTTCTCTCCCCCCTTTTTTTGGGGGGGGGGGCAGCACCACCCCATGCTCTTGGGAGCCCATTTTGGCTTCCCTGAGGCCCAGGATGCTAAAAAAAAACCCTTCACTCCATGTTTTGGCCTCCTGGTCCTCATGGAAGCGGTAAGATAGTGAAGGGGATCCCGGCACAGCTGATTGTCAGAACAGCTGATTGTTGGGAGGAAAGAAAGAATGAAACAGAAAGAAAGAAAGAAAGAGAGAGAGAGAGAGAAAGAAAGGAAAGGAAGGAAGGAAAGGAAGGAAGGAAGGAAGGAAGGAAAGAAAGAAAGAAAGAAAGAAAGAAAGAAAGAAAGAGAAAGAAAGAAAGAAAGAAAGAAAGAAAGAAAGAAAGAAAGAAAGAAAGAAAGAAAGAAAGAAAGAAAGTAGATAGATAAATGCCAGTTCGCCTGAACCGGCCCAAACCAGTAGAGTGGAAGGAAGAAGCGGTGAGGCCTGGGGCTTTCTCCTTGGATCTAACCCTAACCATCGCCTTTGGGCCGAGCGGCGGTGCCCAGAGACGGGGAAGATTCGAGCAGCCCAGGAGGGCCTTGGCGTGGCCCGGGCAGGGTTGGGGCTGCCTCCCAGCCACCCCTCTCTTCCCACAGGCCATGACTGTTCGCTGCGGCTGTGGAACCTGGACAACAAGACCTGCACACAGGAGATCACGGCTCACCGCAAGAAGCACGAGGAAGCCATCCACGACGTGGCCTTCCACCCCAGCAAGGCCCTGATTGCCAGCGCGGGAGCCGACGCCCTGGCCAAGGTCTTCATATGAAGAGGAGGCGGCCCGGCGGGTAAGCCTTGCTCCGGAGGGGGGGGGGGCGGGGGGGGGGGGCGAGACGGGACAGGTAACGTCTGGTCAGGAGGCAGGCGGGTTGGGCTAGGACAGGGGTCTCCAGCCGTGGCAACTTGAAGACTGGTGGACTTCAACTCCCAGAATTCTGGGAGTTAAAATCCACCAGTCGTAAAGTGGAATTCAGGGAGTTAACATCCACCAGTCTTCAAGTTGCCAAGGCTGCGACGGTCATAAAAGTGTGAAAAACGGTCCCAAGCCCCCCACCCCCTTTTCCCCCCCGTGCTGTCGTCGTAACTTTGAGCTGTCACTCAACGCACTGCCGTAAGTCGAGGACCGTCTGTGTTCCGTTGGGGCCTCCTGACTGTCTCCCTCCTCACCATCCTCTCTCTTTTTTTCCCCCCAGGAATCCCGTCTCTTCCGCTTCCTCCTCTCTCCGGCCCGGGCGGTGGTGCTAACCCAGCGCGTCCCTCCCTCACCTGCCGGGACCCTCCCTGTCTCCCACCTGAACCGGGGACCGACGATGCCTGCTGGACAGCGCGAGGGGCCACCCGCCGCCCCTTCCCCGCCGCCCTCGCCGCTCACCTTTCTTCACCAGCACACAGAAAACGGTTTTTTTCTGCTCGTTTCGAGGCCGCCCCGTGGTTTTTATTTCCCAGCTCAGGGAGTGGAAAAAACGAAAAACAAAACCAAACCCCCAATAAACCTCCCCCCCCCCCCCCCCCCCCCGCCCCCCTCAACTGCTATCGGGAGGGGAAGGACCCCCCCCCGAACCTCTGCTGCACCTGGACCCCCAACCCTCTGCCACCTTGGGGAAGGGGCCTGGAAAGGCGTCCCCCTCCTTGGCTCGGTTGGCTGAGGACATTTTCTCTCTCTGTTTTTTTGGCAAACATTTTGGGTCGCTTTGCCGCCGCGCAGCCTTTTCTGGACGAAGACGGACGAAGCACCCTTGGATGCCCAGCGCCAACTTGGGGTGGGGTGGGGGGTTTGACTTTCCCCCCAGCCCCACGGCGTGGGCTCCGGGGCTCAAGATCCGGAGGAAATCAAGTGCCGCCAACCGTTGCTCCTTCTGAGCCTCGAGATACGCCGTCCCCCCCTTCACCTCTACACCCCCTTCTGATTTGCCCGCGTGGCGTGCCTCGCTCAGCGGCGGCGATAGTTGGAAGAGGAGATGGGGGTGTCGTTCTCCTCCAACCCCCCAACCCCCCTTGCTTCCCCAATTTCTCAGGCAGGTATCCTGGAAAGGAGGCAGGGGGTTCTGGGTGAGGGTCTCCGCTGCTTTTGCCGGTATTCTTAAAGCAGAGCGTCCGCCAACGTGGCCCCTTTAAGACTTGTGGGCTTCCAAATCCCAAAGGATTCTGGGACTTGAAGTCCCACAAGTCTTAAAGGGGCCACGCAGGGGGATTTCTGTTCTAAAGGGGACAGGTTAGAGAAGGAGGAGGGGTCCAAGAAGGAGTGGGGGGGGGCAGCGTTGACCAATCAACCAGCCCACCGGCCCATGCTGGTCTATCCTGCTAGGGACGAAACATCCCGGCTTGTCCCCCTCCTTGCTGGCAGGGGGCTTTCGGGGCAGGAGAAAGGGGTCCCCGAATGTGATGTATAGAAGGATGAGGAGGATGAAAAGTTTGCAAGGCCCACCCTGCAGGGCTACTCCTGGTTGACCCTGTCCTGGGCTAAGAGGAAGGTGTGCCTGCCCCTGGGTGGGCGGGTGGGTGGGCTGCGTGCTCGCAGAAGGTGCAGGGGGGGGGGCCCTCCAGATTCGACCTCTTGTGGACAGCTGGGAGCAAGCAACCCACTCAGGCCGCTTTTAAGAAGGCTGGACTTCAACTCCCAGAATTCCCCAGCTCGCCAGCCCTGGGAGTATCGTAAGCCCCAAACAATAACCAGTTGGGGCATTCCTGGAGTGGAAGCCCACCCATCCTGAAGGACAAGAGCTGGGGAATTCTGGGAGTTGAAGTCCGGAGCTTTACAAATTCGGTAGCATGCTGTAGCACGGGGAATTCTGGGAATTGAAGTCCATCACCCCCCCACTTCCAGTTGCTAAGGTTGGGGGGAAAAGCAAACCCCTTACTGGAGAGGGGCGTTCGAGCTGGATGTGAATCCTTGGCTAGCAGAACAAATCCTCCTCTGTCTAGTTTTGGGTCGCAGAGGGGCACAAGGAGCCGGGTTCCCACCTTTTTTCGGGGGGCGAGGGCGGGTTCTGCACTGCGGACCAGATCATTTTTGCTATCCTGGAGGGGTGGAGCTGTTGTCAATCGCTCTCCCCCCCCCAGCAGGTCCATCTTCCATAGCCCATCCGGGCCTGCTCTGAATTACTAGACCAACCCGGGGTGGGGCAGCTGTTCCTGGCCTGGGACACCTGTGGAAGGAGACACGGGCAGCTCTGCCAAGCGCTGGCATACCTACCTCCGTGCAAGGGGAGGGCGGAAGCGCAGCTCTTGGGGGAGTGAGGGGGGGGGCATATCTGCAGCGAGGGGTCCTCAAAGTCAAGGGAGCGAGCACCACCAGGAGATCAAAGCCCCGTCTTTTTCTTTCTTTAAAACGCACCTCCGTGGGCTTCGATTTCCCGACTGGCTTCACTCTTGACCTTATAAACTGACCACCCCCAACCCCTGCTACCAATATCCTCCCCAAGCTGTTTGCAAACAGCTCCTCCCTGCATTGGGGAGTAAGGGGTTTCCTTTTTTTTTAGGGTGGGTGGGAGACGGTTTGGGTTTCCCTTTTTCCAACTTTTATCTCCTTTTCGTTCTTTCGGGGCGGGTATTTGGGTCTTCCTCGTTTGTTTTTGTCTATTCTGTTCAGTCGAAGAAAACCAGATTTGAAAAGGACAAAGGACACACACCTTTGACACACCCAGACACACCCACACACCCGGGGCACTCCGAAGGGCTGATGATGTTCCTGGAAGTAACCACAACCTCGTTATCACTGTGTGATAAGTTTTCTAC